AAAAAAAAAAAAAAAAAAAAAAAAAAAAACAACCAAAAACCAAACAAAACAACAAAAACCCTACAAAAATACAATTAAAAAAAAAAAAAAAAAGAAGAAGAAAAAAAAAATAAGAGGTTTGGGGATATGGACAAGGAAAAAAATAAATCATCACTAAGAAGGTCTGGAAACACACAATAACATTATTGATAAAGCAGAAGAGACCTGGGACAAGGGAAACAAAAAATCTCAACAGTCCCTCCAGAGATACCTACGGAAGGACAGAGCTCCAGAACACCTTGAAAATTAGGGACAAATTATTAATTTTTGTCAAGAAGGGAGAGTAAAAGAAGAGAATGGACAGATCTTTTAAAACATGAACTTTGAAGAAAATATGGCTGATGAATGTGGAATTTGGTTGAGGCTTTTTGGTTGGTTTTTTGTTTTGTTGTTTGGAGTTTTTTTGTGGGTATTTTAGGGAAAAGAAAAGAACAGCTTTTGTTGTCCGTTGAAATAGTGGTCTCCACAGAATCATGGAACCATCTAGGCTGGAAAAACCTTTAAGGTCAAGCCCAGTCTTTGACCCAGCACTACCAAGGCCATCACTAAACCACATCCCCAAGTGCCACATTTTAAATCCCTCCAGGGATGGTGGCTCCACCACTTGCCTGGGCAACCTGTTCCAATGTCTGACCACCCCTCTGGTGAAGAAATTGTTCCTAACATCCAACCTAAATCACTCCTGGTGCAGCTTGAAGCCATTTTCTCTCATCATCATCATCATCATCATCATGGCTTTCCAACCACTGTTCCCCCAGCCTGTGTCACTGCAGGAGGACTTTGTGGCCAAAGTGCAGGACCCAGAACTTGGTTCTCGTGCTGTTGGTCCTGACCCATCAATCCAGCCTGCCCAGATCCCTCTGCAGAGCCTTCCAACCCTCCAGCAGATCAATACTCCCAACTCAAACAAGGGACAGACAAGTGGGATTGCAGCTGGACTGTTCCCCTTCTGTACTGGATTAAGAATTATGCAGCAGCTTCTTGCTGAAAGAACTAGATGCAAATAGCTTAGCTGCTATTTTGTTGTGGGATTTTGGTCTTTGTCAATATTGACTCTGAAATGTTCTGGGGAAAAAAAAAAAATTTTTACTGCAGGCTACCCTAAACTAGCAAAACCGCACCTAGTGTGAGAGGCTGCAAAGCAAAGCTCCTGTCCTGAAACTCACCCTGCAGAACTGCTGAGTAGTTCCAAGCATTTCTTACCAACTCATCACTGTTAAATAGAAACATTAAATAGGAACTATTAAGCCCCATTCATCATCACTCAGTTGAGTAACTAGTAGTACTAGAATTAAGAATTAAGGACATATTTGTAGGACTGTATAGTAACTTCACATATGACAAGGATCCACAAAGATAGGACCAAAATTTCCCATCCAAAAGGAGCCATGAGTCCCATCTTGTGAGAAATTATCAGAACTTGGGGTCTTTCATGCAGAACAGGACATAGCCCCTAAAACCAGCAAATTTTACAGCTTAGAAGTCTCCTGAGCAAAAGTCTTTACAATCTATCAGAGACAAATCCTTTCCTATTATTCTCTTCCAATAGTTTTTTATCATTTGACATTTTGGGTTTTTTGAGGCTGGTTTCCCAGCCACCCTCACAATGAAAGGTGCAGTTTTGGTGAGCATTAGAGGCAAGCACATACTCACTGGAATTGAGGAGGATCATTGCCTTGACACACAGATACTCCTTGTGCTGCAGCTTCAGCTCCCGGAACCTCGAGGTCATGGCCAGGAGCATGTCAAAGATCTCCAAAATCCCCTCTACACATTTCCCCTCATCCCTATGGAAACACATTCAACATGTTACCAAAAAAAGGAGAATTAAGGAGCTGACTCAGACAGATAAAAGTCAAAGCATGAAGGAGGCTGCAGAAGGCCCATCTAATCTCATCTTTGGGAAGATTTAACAGGATCTGTCGTGAAATCTGAATTGAAAGTTACAATGGTGTGAAAGGTCAGCATTTATAAGAAACTGATTTTCTCATTAAAGTGCAAGCAGGATTGGCCATAAGTGTGATCATATTTATGTGTCCTCTCAGTTGGTATAATTCTGGATAATCAGTCTGAAATCCTGTCATGCAGGACACAATATCACCTTGAATAATTTTCCAGATTTGTTTCATAAGGAGTTACCCACAACCAATAACATAATATGTGTACAAAATGGAGGCCTCGAGACTTGGTGAAAGAAGAAGGGTTCCCAAAATAAGTTGCTTGGAATAACAAGACCTTTTTAAAGAATAAAACAACTCTTGTCCCTATCTCCTGGCGCTATTTTCTGGGGAGGTACTGAAAGTTATTTGGGGTTTTGGTGGTTTTGTGGTTTGGATATTTTTATATTTGCAAATATTTATGGAATGCAACTTTCCCCATCTTGGACATGAGACGTGGTCTTATTTTCAGATCTGAAAAACACCCCAAACAAGTCATTCCTATTTGTTTAAAAATCAGCAGTGGCAAATCTCAAGCTACTGAAGTTGCTGTTCCAGTTTTTTTGTTAGTTTTGTTTTATATGTACTAGACTAAAAAAGGGATTAAGCTCTACAACAACAGTATTAAAAGGGAGGCTCCTTATCCTCTTTGTCACAGGAGATTTTTTTTCTCTGTAACATTTTTAAGACAAGACAGATTTAAGCACAGCAGTGCAGGAGAATGAAATAAATTTACTGGATCCCAAGAGAAAGGTGCTGAGCCTTCAGGCTGGAGGCAGGAACATGCAGGTTACACCACCTGGGGCAGCAGGTTCTGCCTGAAAAAAGTATTTTTTATTCCCCAGTTTCCTGTGTTCCTCATAGCAAAGAATATTGAGCTTTTATTAAGGGAATGAGATGATTATTAAGGTCCCTTCCAAGCCAAACCATTCCGGGATTCTAAGTTCAGCTTAGAACTTATCCTCTGTAAGATAAAAGCAGTCAAGTTACAGACCAGGTTCATGTAAGGATGCCCTGAATAAAATTACAGCATGCCCAGACACTTGTAAGCTCCCACTCTGCCATGTCTTGAGGAAATGAAGAAATACATCAAATATTCTCAAAACTCTTGAGCAATTAAATGTATTGTACATTTTCATCAATTTCTGGTCATTGCACTGAACAGTGCAACATGTCCTTGCATTGAATTTTATATGAGCAAATAATATTTATTTCCTCTGTTTTATAAATTATTTTTATAAGCCAATTTTACCTATCTGTATCTAATTATTGATTGCATGCCACAGAACTGGTGCAAATCTCAATTTCCCCAGGTTGAAAAGATATTTTAAAACTACCTAAGACAGTAGATTGCTTCCCTAACTTTTTACCAATGTGAAGCACAGGTCAAATCTTTCTAAGGTTCTGTAAAAAAACATCCTTACTAATCCATATTCTTCCTTCCTGGTACATGATGCTATGGAGAAATAATCTTTAAACTTGAAAACACTCGGCTGTAGCTTGAAAAAATATTCTTAGTATCCAACAGCAATCCCTCTCAGCTAATGCTCCAATGTTCACTATTACAGCTAACTATGAATTCAGCTGTAGTGGCAGGAACAAAACTGGCAGGAAACCTATTTAAAATAATTAAAATACTGCCTGAAACTGTATCTTCTTTTTAATGAGGGATGTAGGGACAAAAGGACAATGTACGAGTGTTTTGTATTGACATTCAGCATATGAGACCTGGAACAAAGGGAACAAAATCACCAAAAGATGGGAAAAAATGAGAGAAGAAAAACGTGAAGAGAAACTTCACACTCAGTGCTAGAGGAGTTCAGGAATTTGCAAGTTCAACAATGCTTTTAAAGCTTAGCATTCCTTAAGCCCTGTAAGGATGTGGAACCTTAGGACGTGATTGTTACAAGCACAAGTAAATTATATTGTTAGATGAAGTATTAATAAGATCTGCAATGTTTAATCCTCTTCCCCACCTTCAACCATGCTAATTTGAAATGCTCTCAATAAATTTACTCCTCTTACCTGTCTAATACAAGGTCTGGTGCAAAAATCAGTTTCCCAGGATGGTCGATGGATCTCCACATCAAACCAATCATCAGAACTTCCATCCAGCAGCTCTCCAAGAGCCTCACTTGGTCATAGAGGCTGAGATCAATGAAGCCTAAAGTGATGCAAATAGCATAAAATAACTTGTTAAATGTCTGTTTTAATAAAGAAAAATGAGCATATGAGAAACAAAAAAAAGCCAGAAAGAACTATGAGTTGTGAAGATAAGGGAGCACTGACATCCACAGTAGCAGGCTACCCCTTGAAATAGGAACCAAAATATTTGCGATTATCATTATCTAAAAACTATTTGGAATAAAGCAGAGTGGTGTTTTAGTGCAATTAGTCCCATACAGCTGCTGAAACTCAAATGACTGCAGAGTCACCTGCTTTATGTTCTTGTCCTAAAAGAGATGTTAGAAGAAATATTGTGAGGGTGAGGCCCTGGCACAGGATGTCCAGAAAAGCTGTGGATGCCCCATCCCTGGAAATGTTCAGGCTGGATGGGGCTCTGAGCAGCCTGGGATAGAGGAAGGTGCCCCTGCACATCTCAGAGGGTTGGAACAAGGTGATCTTTGAGGTCCCTTCCAACCCCACTCATTCCATGATTCTGTGATTCATTTCTCTCCAGAACTTTTAGCAAGGCCTCAGATAACACTGCAGCACAGCCAGAAGGCAGAGACAAACACAGCCAACCTCTTCTCTTCCCCTGATTAAAAAAAACAAAAAAAAAAAAAAAAAAAAGACTAGGGAAAAAATAATGCTTAGAAGTTAGAAGTCAAAAGAAAAAATAGGAGAAATAAAATTCATACACTCCAAAAGATCAGAAGTATAAATTATCAATTATCAAAACATGGGTGGGAAAACAGACAGTTCAGTCAAGGAGGAAAACACAGATATGAGGAAGGGCTGCTCAGTGATCAAAACCAAGATCAGGCCACACTTTTCAAAGCTGAGCTTCTTTAGCTTGGGCCCTTGGCAAAGGTGCTCCATTTTCAGATGAGCTGCCATCTCTGATGCTGCTTGGTGACAAATCCAGGCACAGCCTGGCCATGGCAGATTGGTTTCCTGGTTGTCTGGTTTCCTGAAGTTCTTCCTGGTTGTCTGAGGTGTTAAAACACGCACAGGACATTTGGGCTGCCAAAGAATCTCTCTGTCAGTAATTTATACAAATGCTCCACGCATTTTAATCTTATTGCAGGACTCAGCTGGAGGACAGTCAGTGACAGCCAGGGCTGACATGAGCTGGGCAAAGCTCACTTTTATCATCACTGAATGTGCTGCTTTCCAGAGCTGGGGCAGCCTTGCCTCTGGTTTCATAGCAGGGATAAACAGGAGCCAGGAGCGGTGCCTTCCCTCCTGGGCTCCACTGTCACAGAATTTACTGCAGAACACACAGCCAACAACAGATTATCTGTCACACACACTCATCATTTAAAACTGCTTTTAGGGAAATATTCATGGAAGTGTGAAACAGTACAGAAACTGACAGTGCCAGTTTCCTGGGAAACAACAGCCCAAAGACATTTCAGAGTATATTTAAATAAACATTTACACTGCCATGTACTGATTTCTCTAGCACAAACAAGGAATTATCAGGTTTAAAGACTCTCTCAGCTGAGTGATGTCAGACCAAGTCCCAGGGTTCAATCTCCAGGTCCTTGAAGATCCAGATTTATCACGGATGTCATCTGCTAAATTCACATTATCAGTGGCAGCAGTAGGAGCTGTGGCCATTGAGCACAGCTGTTAGAAGGACTCTAATTCTCTTTTTCCTAAGAAATCTCATGCTCCAGAGGTGCAGCACAGCAAACAGCCACCACAGCTTTCACTGCAGCCTCAGGAGCCCCATTTTATTTCCTCCAGACTACATTAACCTAATAATTTTTCTCTGGTTGTATTACACATCCTTTAGATTGTGGGCTCTATTTCTTATAATTTAATTATAGATTGCTAAGACAGAGAAGAAAAAAAAAAAAACTTGTGCTGGATGTGTAAAACCTAGGAAAAGACACATTGCTCTGGTCAGCAACACACTGGGCTGCATAATGAACCCAAATTTCAATACTGTGACAACAACTTATTGATCTGCAATACAGGTTCAGCAATGAACCATGTAAACTCTTTTAGACTAGGTCAGCAAAGCAAAAGGCAATTACAGAAGCTGTGTTCTGCTACCTGACAACTGAGAATTAAAATACTTGGAATTCAGAAGGAAAAAAACCCAGATGTCAACTTCTATTTGACAGAGCAACAAAAAATATACTGCATTAGGCTGAAAGTCCAGAACAAAAATATAGCCACAGAGTAAAATTCATAACAAAAGACTGTCATTAAATATTAAACACAAAAAAACCACAAAATACTAACATGCTTTTTCTCCTATTTATGCAAAAAGTTACTGTTAATACAACAAGGATTTTTTTTTCACCTCCAGTGAGTGTAAAAATAATATCCAATAATAACTTTGAGAGTATCAGAATAATATCCAATAATACCTTTGAGATGAAAATGGACTTCTAACCTGAGTACACAAAAGCAAATATTCAGCTTTTCAGAAAGTAAAATTACTGCTCACTGGGCCATTAGTCAAGAGCTCTCTATTTTTCCTAAGATCTTACCTCTAGGAACCAGGCATGGGCATGATCACCTTCATGCAAGAGTTTTTGAAAAATGAAATTCCATGTCCTGATCTTTAGTCATCACAACTTTTTAATAAAAAACAAAATATCAGTCTACATTGAAGTCAATAGTCCAACTGCCATGTGATACAGCAGTGTCACTTATAGTTGGGTGTATATTAAACATCCCATCTATTTTTGGCATTGCTCTAAAATGCTTTTTATTTCTGTTCTCTGTAACAGGAGTGATTAGAAAAAACACAGAGACAACAAAGTGTCAGCATTCCCAAAAACTGTTTTGAAGGGGTTTGATTGCTTCAATGGGTTTTCTTCACACAGTTCTCTTACTGCCAAGAAAAAGTTTTTATTTCTTACTGCCAAGAAACCGTTTTTATTTCTATTTATTATTACTTTTATTTCTATTTTATTTTGTTTATTTAGTTCATTTTCATATGTTGAAAATAAACTAAAAGTGCCCTGTNCCAGGCAGTGAAGGAAAGCAGTGGAACAGCCCCAGGCAGTGAAGGAAAGCAGTGGAACAGCCCCTCCTCAGAGCTCCTGCGGACTCCCCTCATCCCCCCTGAGACTGGAACAGCCCCAGCATCCCAATGGAAGCACAGTGGGACAGCTCTGCTCCAGGCTGGAGGGACAGGGATGTGCACACCAGGAATGCAGCCCCTGGGGCAGTCTGGGGCATCCAGACCCCACACAAACCCAACATCTCTCTCAAGAGAGCCCCCCTTGTTCAGTCACTGCCACACACCTCCCTGTGCTGTTGGAATGAGCATTTTCCCCTCACCCCAGTATGAACACAGCTACATTAATCCAGACTCCACAGCTGGTGACTTCCACCCATTTCAAAACATCATTAGTAACTTTTAATAAAATCATGTTCAACAAGACAAAAAGTAGGTTAAAATCACATCATTTTCCTATTTGCACTGTACTAACAGCAACATAGATGAACACCACCACAAAGCACAAAACTGCAGCACATCCCTTTTACAGAGTCAGTCCACAGCAAATTTCCATCTAGAAGATAATTTCATGATTTATACCCAGTCTTTCCCATTTTCTCTTCAAAAGGTTTGTTCCAAGATTGTACACAAATTTAGCACTTTTAAAGTAAAACAAACAAATCACTTAAACATTTCTTTGAAAAATGTATTAAACCAAAAGATTGCTAAGGATAAGGAAAATCAGAGAAAGAGCAACACAACAGGCAATGAGGCCAGAACACAATCAAGCCCAAGAAATAGAGACAGGTTTGTTTCACAGCAAAACATCTCTCAAAATGAAAGTACCAATAAATTCCAGACTGTACTCACATTTTTTTCCTTTTTTTTCATTGTAAATATTACACATCTTTAGAAGGACACAGCTATATTACAGTTTCTTAAAAACAATAAAAAGGCAGAGAGTAAAAATTTAGATCAGCAGCAGCATCTGGTATAGTTAGTACAAGATCAAAACAGACAATAGATGTGTAACTCACTGAAAACTTCCTATAAAAAATACTGTCCTTGGCTTTAAAAAACCACCAAGATTAATGGTTTGACTAATATTCAAAATATGCAAATGGCATACTAATCAAAGTCCCTAATGCAAAAGACTTAGGGGCTCAAAATAGACTTTTGGTGTGATCCCAATTCATTTCACCATAATGCCCAGAACATGCATGTGCTATATTTAAATGTTTCCATGTAGAGACAGTTACCAGAATGAATGATGCCATCCTGCTGATCTCTGAGGTCAGCAGCCAGGCCATTTAATCAGGTTTGTTTTTTTTTTTTTTACTCAGTGCAGCTTAAACACATGCAGAAATCAGCACAAAAAGGAAGTTTAAACCACTACATCTTCAGTGTAATTCAAACAAGTCATCACACCTGCAAAGCAAAGCAGTGCTTTACATTATCCCCATCTTTACACTGCCTTTACATTTACCATTATCCCCATCTTTACCCTGTCTTTACATTTACCACTATCCCCATCTTTACCCTGTCTTTATATTTACCATTATCCCCATCTTTACCCTGTCTTTATATTTACCATTATCCCCATCTTTACACTGCCTTTACGTTTACCATTATCCCCATCCTTGCTCTTTGAGGGCTCCTATAAAGATATAAAGACCACAGCACAAGGTGCCATGCATGCTGAGAGCAAGCAAGCAGCAAACCTCAGGGCAGCAGACAAAAACAGATCCCCATCCATGTTCCCATCCAGTGCCTCACCCCCTGCAAGAGGTTTTGGGTGGGCAGGACGTAATTCCACACACCAGTCAAAGGGGTGGGAAGATTTTTTGTTTTGTTTTCCTAGCTGGTTTCACAAGGCCTGATCAGCAGATCATATACAAATACAAACAGTTAATATTCACAGAGCAACTTCTTGTACCTAATTATCAGAATAGATTTAACATCATTAATAAATATATAAAACAACATGATAAACTCACAGACAAAACACATCTCAAAGGTCAGCATTGACTGAGATATTCAGACGATTTGGTCGTTGCTTAAAGCACTGAAGAATTATAAGCAGATAACAATGTGAGTGTTAAGAACAGGCTCACAAAATACAAACTTAAGATCAATTTAAACTTTCTGCAAAGGCTCTGAACTGACCCTAGAAGCTATTTCAAATGACCTTCAAATGAAGGCTCCTGCAGCCATTGCATATTTGAGAATAAGCTCCTTTACGCTGTCTGTATCTCGGCACTTCATCCAGATCAGCTGCAGAGCAGGCATTCCCCAGGGACCAGCACACAGAGGTAAACATCTGTCCCAAATGATGCTGTCCTGCATTTCACACCATCCTGTGCTGAAAGAGGACATTGTTCAGTCAGTTCTTAAAAGTCTTGCTCTGGGAGACAGAGACCAACGTGCTCTCTCCAGGCTTCTCAGACCTGTCCCTTTACCTCTCCCTCTCAGTTGTGCCTCTGAGAAGGAGAGGATCAATCCCCTGTCCCACAGCACTGTTCTGAGGCTTGATTTCATAAGGTGCTTTTGCAGAGTCCCAGAAAAGGCACTAGAGCAGTGCAGCTGTTGCAATGTCAGACACACAGACAGAGGCGCCCGCGGCCTCTCCCGAGACACCCCTGTGCAAATCCAGAAGGGATGAGAGCCCACGCCAGGTCACAGCTCTGCAGCCCCATCACAGCAGCTCTGTTTCCCCCCATAGCTCTGAAAAAGCCTCACATTTCCAGGCCTTTCACAATTACTGGGGTGCCCCATTCCTCAGGCTGTCTCCAGGCTCCATTTGCTCCAGTGGGCCAAACTCGGGGTGTGTGGCCAGGGACTTCCTCTGCCCCCGCAGGGTGTGAGCGTTCAGCATCTCCAGCAGCAGGTCATACACTGGCACCACGTTCTTACACTTCATGCTCAGGAGATGCTCCATTCCCTTGTTACTGTGCAGGAGAACAGAAAATAACTCAGCAGTCTGGTGCCAACAGTGCAGAGAAGAAAAACATGCTCGTGGTTTCAAGTGACTCCCTTTGTTAATTTGGATTTAAGAGGATTTTGCTGCTGGGGACCCTGAGATCACTTACCACTACCAACAACATCCCAATGCTTTAAGGCTGAATGTTCTACTATTAGAGAAGCAGGTTTTGTTTTACACCACACAAACCCTTTCAGGAAATAATTGAGATGTATCAACACTATTGAAATGAAAGGAAAACCTCTTGGATGCTGTAGAGGCCCCATACTTTATGCAAAACAGGAATTTACTACATGCAGTTTACTAAAGACTACCTACCTCTCCTACCTGACTGAGTAGGAAGCCCTAATTACCCAGCTAACTTCAAGCACTTTGTTTACTCTCTGCATGTCCAGTGAGAGGATCTTGCAGTGGCTGCAGACTTTAAAATAATCTCTCTGTTATGCAGTAACATACAATGACATCTTGCTAGTTTGAACACTCAGTGCTGTATCATGGTTTGGACTAAAGATGTCTCTTGCCATTGCAGCCACATGTATTTATACTCCAGATGCACTCAGGGTTTGGGGTTGAGATCTAAGGGTGCTTGCTCAACACCAAATCTATCCCAATGGAACTAACAGCCCACAGCTGAGCTGGTGAGTTGGGCTGGGAGGGGGGCAGTGCTCCCAGATAAACCAGGTTCTGCTACAATTCAAAAGTGTTAATGGGCAAGATGAAATTGCAGCCCTTCTCCCACACCCAGATCTCAATTATTTCCAGAACAAAGTCTAATTGACTGACCAGCACCAAGCAACCTAGAGTAGACAGGACACAACAAGCAGCCTCCAGATTTTGGCTGAGGGAGACAGCATAAAGGGTCTTGGCTTAATGAGAAAATGTAAAAATTTTACAGAGATTTGTGCTGTTTGTTCACAGCATGCCAGAACAGCTTCTGCAAAGCTGTGGCGTCACATCACAGAGCACAATCCAGGTGATGGCAGAGATCAGAGCCATGAGACAGGTTTAACTCTGGCTGGGGCTGGAGCTTTTTCAAGGCCAGCTCTCAAACTCACCCCCAGCCCACAAACTGACTGTTAAAAAGCTGGATTTCAGCACCATCAGATCCCTGCTGCTGCCTTTGCTGTCCCGGGAAGTTCATTGCAAAGGTGGCCATCCCCTTTTCAGTGTCCCTACAGATGTGCCCAGCTCTGCTTTGTGTGCTCCAGCCTGGTCCCAGGACATCTTCCCTGCACACACAGTCCAAAGTCAAGCCATGAGACAGCTTAGTCAATAGCTGGCCTCTGGGTAATAATTTAAAATGACAGATTGAAAATCAAAACCTCTCTTTGTAGGATCCCCATTTCAGTCTGCTGTACCACAAGCAGAGATGGACATCTCAAAGGAGATTCAGAAACTGGAGACACTTCCCATGGAAAAAGCAGGAGCCTGGTATTGCTGCAGCATGAGTCACTTGGTAAAAACTCTGTGGTTCCATGTAAAAGACAACAAATTTGGTGTGGGAAAAACTTGGTCCCCAAAATCCACTTTGCTCTACCAAAGCCCACACTGCAAATCAGTTTTGGAAGAGATTTTCATTTTGAATGGAAGGGTTTTGATGGCTGGATGAAAGGCTCAATTTGTGTTATTGTTAAACATTTCAGGCAGACACATAATGAATAGTTTAATGTAACAAGGTTAAGACAACATTTTCATATCATCATGTCTTTGAGTGCCCGCAAGCACTTGAGCTTACTGCCTGTTTTGTTGTGCTGGGAAGGAAAGCCTCACAGTGACAAAGGTGCAGAGCAGCACCAGGATTCCCTCAGGAGTGCTCTGGAGCTCAGCCACCTCTTTTTTTGCTGTAATGAACAAACAGTGACATAACCCAAGTGTTACACACCCTCTGCAGACCGTACCTGGCCTGCCTGACGTGGGAGAGCAGCATCAGCAGATTGGCCAGGCGAGTGGTCTGCTGCTGAGAGGGGATGCCGCTCTTGGCAATAACCCACACCAAAGCCTCTGTGACCACGTTGAGCAGGTGGTGCAGCTTCCTGTTGCTCTCAGGCTCCTCTGCTGACCAGTGGAACATGCCTAACCAGAGAAGAGGAAGAAATATTTGCTGCTGATAAGGAAGAAAAAAAGCTGCAACTGTAGATTTTTAAAATATGTAATATTTCAACAAAATTAGAGAAGATACATGCCCTGACACCCCCCTCAAGACTGTACAAATGATGCTCTGTATGCCACATCAAGTTTGAATTTGATGGTCCCATCATTTGCTAAGTGAGAAGTTCTTCCAAATCCTCCTTGGACTTGTTGCACATGAACCCTTCAGTCAGGTCATGAAGTGCTCTCCATTCTCCAGGGTTTTTTTCTCCTTGTGTTTTTTTGTATTATTATGATCTATAATATTATGCTTGTTCTAATCCCTTCTTGTTGAAAAAAACCCTTTTTTCCTGAGTATATAATAGGGAGGAAGGAGAACATGGCAGGGACACTGCTCAGAGTGACCCACTGGTCATGGTCTCCCTACAGATTACTAAGAGTGTCATAATAACAGCAAAGGTCTGCAGTGAGAAACCTTGAAAGTCAGCAAAACCAAATCAAAACAAAAAAGAAAAAAAAAAAAAAACCAAAAACCAAACAAAACAACAAAAACCCTACAAAAATACAATTTAAAAAAAAAAAAAAAAAGAAGAAGAAAAAAAAAATAAGAGGTTTGGGGATATGGACAAGGAAAAAAATAAATCATCACTAAGAAGGTCTGGAAACACACAATAACATTATTGATAAAGCAGAAGAGACCTGGGACAAGGGAAACAAAAAATCTCAACAGTCCCTCCAGAGATACCTACGGAAGGACAGAGCTCCAGAACACCTTGAAAATTAGGGACAAATTATTAATTTTTGTCAAGAAGGGAGAGTAAAAGAAGAGAATGGACAGATCTTTTAAAACATGAACTTTGAAGAAAATATGGCTGATGAATGTGGAATTTGGTTGAGGCTTTTTGGTTGGTTTTTTGTTTTGTTGTTTGGAGTTTTTTTGTGGGTATTTTAGGGAAAAGAAAAGAACAGCTTTTGTTGTCCGTTGAAATAGTGGTCTCCACAGAATCATGGAACCATCTAGGCTGGAAAAACCTTTAAGGTCAAGCCCAGTCTTTGACCCAGCACTACCAAGGCCATCACTAAACCACATCCCCAAGTGCCACATTTTAAATCCCTCCAGGGATGGTGGCTCCACCACTTGCCTGGGCAACCTGTTCCAATGTCTGACCACCCCTCTGGTGAAGAAATTGTTCCTAACATCCAACCTAAATCACTCCTGGTGCAGCTTGAAGCCATTTTCTCTCATCATCATCAT